AAAGCCGTATCTTAGCAAATACATTGGAAGGAAACTCCCTTGTGTACGTTGTTTTTTTTTTTCCCCACTTGGAAAATCTTTTATTTGAAAAAGTGAAATAAAAGAAATCTATCAGTAAAAAGTTGTTTCAAAGTAAACTATCGTGCATTTTGCTTCAGAATTATTAAAGTTGGCAACTTGGATTTTAAAGACATGTTAAACCTTTTAAAGTGGCTAGTAAAACTGACCTGCCGGCATGAAACAGTTTGGTATCTGCAGCTCCCTTTTTCCAGCAAAAAAAAAAAAAAATATATATATTCCCTGCTTTCGTTGTGATATTAGAGCTCCTCCTCACTGTCACAGTCAACTTCAACCCTTTCCTGACCAATTCTACCTAGCTGTTAGAAAGTGGAGTAGCATGGAGGCTGCAAGAGGGGACGAAGTGGCACTGGGGACTACACAGAGGGAGGAGGATAGTGGAGAATGAAAGGAAGGAGGACAGAAGGGAAATAGAAAGAAGGAAATCCTGGGAAGGGCAGGACTGACACAGACTTACCTTAATACCTTGTCCTGCCTTTGGCAGCGTGGGGCACTCTCAAGAAGTTCCCATCTCCACCCTGGCCTGCCTTGTAGCTCCCTTCCACTGCGTCCCCACTGCTGTATTCTTTCTGGTATGGAGAAGATACAGGCTTGGGCTTCCTGCGCTCATGAGGCCCCAGGGAGCACAACAGCAGCTCAGCACCAAAGCACTTGTTAGCCATTGGGACCCAAGACCTGTAGGAGTAACCTCAGGGAGATGAGAGTCACAACAGGAGGAAGGGGAAGAGGCCAAGGCTGGCCATGGGACCCACAAGTCCTAACTTCCTGGCCCCCTCAATCCCAGTCCTTTGAGAACCAACCAGTGTTGTTTTAATTAAGGATTCCCCCCATTACTTTAAAATCAAAGACCTTTTCTGAATTAAGTAGCACAGCTCAGCGTAGCATGCTAATGAAACTGAAATATTTCCACATACATAGTCTAATGTGTCTACATTTACACACTTGGCATAGTGCAACAGCAGGTTAGGAAATTATTAGGACAATGAATAATTGTGAAGAGTAATAGATGCCATTATAATAGAGCATCATGTATGGCTATCATATTAATTTTATAATAATGTAAGACAACATTTTCGTGATACTCAAGAACCCAAGAATTAAAAGGAGTGGCTACAACTGGCAATATTAAGACATGTAATAGTAAGTAGCATATTATTAAGATCAGTAATAAAGAGCAAGATATAACACTCAAACATAATAAACCATGAGTGTGAGAATATCATCCACATTATAAGATTAATTCATTACTTAGACTTAGATAATAAACTACCAAAAATGAATTACAAATAAAGATGAGAGCTAACAAATGCTAACTAAAATCATAGTGACAATGCATAATGACAAAAAACCCTTAGACATTATCATTATGCATAAATGAATCAGGAATCAGTGTATTAATAGTTCAAAAGAGAATTAGCTGATTAATAATGCATAGCTTTCACTTGTATAGATTTTTAACATGTGCAGGATGATGATAAATAGTTTAGTGATAAAATATGATCATCAGACCTTATTAAAATATTAATGCCATTTCATTTTGGATAATTGTAATCGGACTTCAGAGCACTAACTGGGTGACTCAGGATTTACATTATTGGAACTGCAACCAGTATCTGGGCCCAGCCTCCTTGCCATCACCAGGTGGCTCTTTCTTTCCAATGAAATTACTGAGATTGATGGGGAATGCTTGTATTGGTCCCTCTACATGATGGTAGCACTCAGTCTGCACCGTGGTAAATGCTGGACTCATGGATGGAGGACTGTGGTGAATGTAGGGTGAGTCATCTCCTGGTTGTCACCTACCATTTCACACGGGAACTGATTAGCACCCAGGAACAGCCTATATTTGAAAAGGACCAGGCTTTGAGAAAAATATGCTCCCCCCGCCCCTAACTCATATCTCATAACTCATTATCAGAAGCAGTGTCCCCACCGATTAACAAACACTAAATGGGACACAACCCTGCCTTACCAATAAATACAATACCTACTAACTCATCTCTAGTATCACAACAACTAACATTGCCCCTGCAAGGAAACCATGGATCCTACACAGGTCTATCTACACAGGTCTATAGTGCAGTATCCAGTGTAGCAAATGCTTTCATGGAAGCCATGTGGATAAAACTAGATAAAAGTCAGGCCTGGGAACAGAAATTCATTAGTTTACTGGTTACTAAAACCAGGAACTTTGCACAGAAATTGACTTCAGAACCCACTGTCATTTTCCTGATCCCAAGCTGCAGGCAATAACAACCCTCCTGAGGGATCTTACTCTTCCACTTACCAGATTATCCTTTCTACTTCAATTCTCTTGTCTGCGCTGTACCTGATCATATCATTTATATTCTGTTTTAACCTACATATCGAGCATTGTACAGGCCTTTTGTTCTGTCTGCTGTTTAGCTCAAGCTGTGTCTGCCTTTTTCTTAGTGATCAGAGAAAGGGTAACTTTGTTATCTGAAAGCTTTTTCTATATCCCTGCCAGCTATACAGTTCATCCAATAAAAGATACCCTCAGAAATCGTTAGCTTTCACATTTTTCTTGTGCCATCGCAGCTACAAAAGTACCCCAACACTACCACATTCATTTATTTCATAGCTATGACATTGTGGATGCCATGCTACAGAAGGAATGCTATAGGTTTATTCTATGGCTACAAAACAACACATCCGTAGGCACTACCGCCTTAGTGAATAGCAAGTTCAGAATTACTTCATGGATATTACAAAATTACCCTACAGATACTGTAAATTTCTTCCTGTGGATTTATTATGTAATTGTTCTATAGGTACTATAGACTTGCTATTGGGTTTCACCACACGTGCCGCAGAGTGATACCATATATACTACAGAGCATGGGCAACTGGTGCCTCCTGAGTTGGGGGGGGCGGGCACCAGATTGCCAGCAGGGGGGTGGTCCCCCCAGTGGCCAATAGCCGAGCCAGGGGCAAAACCAGAAGCGTACTTCCGGTTTCACGGCTGGCGCTTCTAGGGGGTGCACGGCTGATCTCAGGGGGTACATATCGCCAATGCTACAGAGTTACTACAGTGTTACTGTACTGTTTTCAATGGATGAAAGAAAATATTTTGCTGGTACTATAAAATGCCTGCAGGCAGCCTGGAAGCTATTTAAAATCATCATAGTCAAGGCTCAGGAAAAGTGCATAACGCAAATCAAAAGTTTAAGAGGCTATCAAAGGCAAAAAGTCATCATTCCAGGGAGTCAAAGCTCAAGCTTACGGAGAGGAGGTGCAGAGAGATCTCACCAACCTGAGTGGGCAAAAAAGTGGCAGATGAACTTCAGCATCAACAAGTGCAAAGTAATGGACATGGGGAAAACCAGCCTCCGTTATATGCACACAATGCTGGCTTCTAAACTAGCTGCTGAAACTCAGGAGAGAAATCCTGGAGTCACTGTAGACAGTTCTCTAAAAAGATCAGTTTAATGTTCAGCAATGGCCCCAAAAAGTGAATAAGGGCATCATTAAGAAGGGGACTGAAAACAAAATGAAAAAAAGCATCAAGGAACTTTACCCCATAGTCAGATTGGTATAGTCTGTGGGGGTTTTGCCTTCCTCTGTAGTGAGTGCCACGGCCCTCTCCTTGGATCTCTCAAGTGTATTTTAACAGTGCTGACAGCAGCAGGACACTGGCTACCTTTGTTCCTGTGCTTTACCTTTGGCAGGTTAGGTTGCTATGCCTTGTGGCTGTGTGTCAGAGTTGACTGTGTAGTTTTACTCATGGGTTAGACAAGTATTTGTATAAAATGGTTTGGATAGGGATAATCCTGCTTTTGACTTGGGGTTGGATGAGATGTCCTCCAGAGGTCCCTTCTAGTCCTACTTTTCTATGGTTCTATGATCATGTCACTATACAAATCCACGGTGCATCGACTTTGTGCACTGTCTGTCGTTCTGGTTTCTGCATCTCAAAAAGGATGTAGCGTAATGAAAAAAGGTTCACAGAAGTTCAGCCAAGATGATCAAGTGTACGGAGCAGCTGCCATACCAGGACAGGCTGAAAAGGCTAGGATGCTTCAGTTTGGAAAGGAGAAGGCTAAGGGGGGATATTATAGGGGGTTATAAAATCATGAAGGGTATGGGCATAGTGAACAGGGAACTAATCACAGAATCATAGCAAGTTAGGGTTAGAAGGGACCTCAGGAGGTCATCTAGTCCAAGCTAAAAGCTAGCATTTTCTGAAGGGGGCCTTGAGTGTAAGGAGGGTTCACTGAGTCTAAAAAGGGTGAGGAGCACTGTTACAGATATTGCACAGTTAATCTATAGATCAGGCATGTGGCTTTTGGTTATCTCCGTACCATGCAACTGTTCCAGGACCAAGGGCTACAGGACTTCTAGACTCCCAAGTCCAGTGGGCACAAGTCTATCCAGGCAGCATACAGAAACAGCTGCCGTGGAATCTGTAAGGTGAGGCCCTCACCTAGGCCAGCCCATATGAGAGAGCTTTCTTGAAGCTGCTAGTTTTGAAAGACTGTCCAAGGATTTACAGGACCGTGCCAAGAAGTCTAGAAGCCCTGAGACCTTTCAAAAACTTAGATTCACAACTTCTAAGTTTCCTTCGGCAGCCATAATAGCCTAGACCCCGAGGGCTCTAGGTATGGCTCCCCAAGGCTTCCAAAATGTCCACATTTCTTGCTCTACAACCTGAATGTTATGGTCTGGCAAGGCAGCCAAGGACAAGCTCCACGAATGTCATTGCGACAGGATGAAACTTTCATTGAAGCCACAAAATACAGCGGAACCTAAGAAATGAGCTTTTTCCAATTAAACTCTCTCTCTCACAGGTTCATAAATCCTACGGCAATAGTACAGTATGCCTGCAATGTCACTCAAATCAAAATCGCACCCCGCATGTGAAAAACATCGCAGACCCAATAGATGTTTATTCTGACTCCATTCTATTCTTTTCTCCAGACCCCATATGTGGCCAATACCCTTGCTGCAGCACTGAGGATCTCCCTGTTCCTCAGCGTGTAGATCATGGGATTCACGAGGGGGAAGACCACGGTGTGGAAGACGGCCACCACCTTGTCCGTGGGGAAGCTACGGAAGGGCCGGCAGTAGACGTAGATGGCTGGGCCAAACATGACAAAGACAATGATGATGTGGGTGACACAGGTGGAGGCTGCTTTGCTCTTCCCATGGGAGGAGCTTGCCCTGAGCCGGACCAGCAGGGCTCCGTAGGAGATCAGCAGGAGGAAGAAGCATGCAAAGATGACTAGGCCACTGTTGATGAACATGAAAAACTCCAGCTGGTAGGTGTCAGTGCAGGCCAGCTTGATCACCTGGGTGACATCGCAGAAGAAGTTGTCTAGTTCATTGGGGCCACAGAAAGGGAGAGGAACAATGAGGGCAACCTGGATGGTGGAGTGAATCAGCCCTCCTATCCAGGCAGCCACCACCAGGGCCCAGCAGACCCCCCTGTTCACCACAGTGGTATAGTGCAGAGGCTTGCAGATAGCCACGTACCTATCAAAGGCCATGGAGATCAGAAGGAAGATCTCAGCCCCTCCTAAGAAATGGAGGAAGAATAGCTGGGTTATGCAGGCCCCATAAGAGATAGCCTTGTGTTGGGCAAAGAAGTCGACCAGCATCCTTGGAGGGGTAATGGAGCAGTAGCAAATATCCAGGAAAGCCAAGTTGGCCAGGAAGAAATACATGGGGGAGTCCAGGTGGGGGTCCACCCAGATGGTGAGTATGATGAGGATGTTAGCCGGGAGGATGAATGAGTAGAAGATGAGAAACAAAATCAAGAGGAAGAGCTGGACCTCTCTGGTCTGGGCCAGTCCCAGCAGCACAAACTCTGTCACCTCCGTGCCATTCCCATACTCCATCGCACCAGTGCAAACTCCTGTAACAACATGTGAGTCAGTGATAGTCGTCATTAGGTGTCATAAGGAAGTACTGGAGGGCAGCTAAAATCAGGGCACTGTTGTACCAAGTGCTGTACAGACCCTGACCAAGACTGAGTGCAGGACTGGGCTGGCACACAATTGCATAGTTATTAAACTGGCGCATGATTGCAGTAAGGCACAAACAGGATGCCTGGCAAATTTTAGAGAGTTGTCCATGGGGCACCATTATTAAATAAGGCATTTTTATTGGGGTGCCACAGGGTTTGTTGCTTAGCCTAAATATCTTTAATATTTTCATTAAGACAATAGAAAAAGATCTAAAATCACTGATGGCAAACTTTGTAACATTGGCGAAGCAGTAAATGATGAGAAGGGCAAGACAGTCCTACAGAGTGGCCTCGATTATATGACACCCCTGACCCATTCCCATTCTTTAATATAGGCGGATTCATAGTTTCATAGTTTCTAGGGTCGAAAGGGACCTGAGTAGATCATCAAGTCCAACCCCCTGCCACGGCAGGAAAGAGTACTGGGGTCAAACGACCGCAGCAAGGTGTTCATCCAGCCTTCTCTTAAAGACCCCCAGGGTAGGAGCCAGCACCACTTCACTTGGAAGTTGGTTCCATATTCTAGCTGCCCTAACCGTGAAGTAGCACCTCCTGATATCTAGCCTAAATCTCCCCTCTGCCAGCTTGTGACTGTTATTCCTGGTCACTCCTGGCAATGCTCGAGGGAACAGGGACT